GGTGCATGCCACCATATCCAGCTAATTTTTGTAATTTTAGTAGAAATGGGGTTTCACTATGTTGGCCAGGCTGGTCTCAATCTCCTGACCTCATGATACGTTCACCTCAGCCTCCCAAAGTGCTGGGACTATAGGCGTGAATCACCGCACCTGGCCTTATTTGCCTTTTTAACTCAACTATCAGGGGCCTAGAGCAGGAAATCAGGGTCAGGTCTCTGATGTGGGGCGAAACAGGGTTTCCTCCGTGGTAGAAGTAAAGGCTACCCACCCTGCCACACCAAGGCCAATTTATTGTTTTTCCTCTCCACCTAAAGATAGTGTTGAGGGTCGAGCGCGGTGGCTCACGCCTGTAATCCCAGCACTTTGGGAGGCCGAGGCAGGTGGATCACCTGATGTCAGGAGTTCGAGACCAACCCAGCCAACATGATGAAACCCCATGTCTACTAAAAATACAAAAATTAGCTGGGCGTGGTAGTGGGTGGCTGTAACCCCAGCTACTCCAGAGGCTGAGGCAGGGAAAATTGCTTGAACCTGGGAGTCAGACGTTGCAGTGAGCTGAGATCATGCCACTGCACTCCAGCCTGGGCGACAGAGCAAGGCTCCGTCTCAAAAAAAAAAAAAAAGATAGTGTTGAGTGTGTAAGATTTGCCTGTTCTGTGACTTTGGGCACATCACTTTTTTCTGAGATACCTCTGACTGCCTCCGTCACAGGGTAGGCTAATGCAGGGGAAAGGACTTTTAAACTACAGTTGACCCTTGAACAGCATGGGTTTGAGCTGCGTGAGTCCACATTTGGTTGAATTTTTTTCAACCAAACATGGTTCAATAATACAGTATTTGTGGGATGCAAAACCCATGTGTGTGGAGGACCAGCTTTTCCTATACGTGGGTTCCGCAGGGCTGACAGGGGCTTGAGTATGCGTGGATTTGTGAACACGGTGGGGTGTGTCCTGGAAATAGTCCCCCACGTATACCAAAGGACATCCGTGCTTTCAGAATCTACAATGATCGCTGATTTGCTGCCTCTCTGAGCCAGTCTGCACATCAGTAAAATGAGGCATTCTCCTTTCCTGGCCTCACTCTCTTACGTTTCTTATCCAGTGACCCCCATTCTTATTTCCCAGGTAAAACAGCACATCAGATTATGTGCCCAAACCCGCCTTTCTTCTGGCTCTCCAGTGATAATGGGATCCGCATCCTTACGAAGCCCTGATTCCTTCCTCTCCTTAATTGGTTGTCTGCTTTCCCTTCTGTATGATCAGTTTCTCTTCATTAGCCCTTTCTTCCTGTGCAGAAAGCATATATGAGTACCTTCCCTGTTGACAAAAGTGAAACCATCAAACCTCGAGCAGCCTCTTCAAAGGGTTGGCTGTATTCCCCCACTCTGCTTCCCCACTGTCCCATTTACAACCTGGCCTCCTGGCTGGTTTTCACCCCCCTCCACTGAATCAGCTCTCGCCACTTTCCCCACCCTCATGACAAATGCAGCGGGCACCAGAGCAGCAGCTGATTGCCTACTCTCCCTGAAACACTTTCCTCTAGATTTCCCAGATAAGATGCTTACCTGGTTTTCTTCCTACCTCTGGCTATTTTTCCTTATTTTTAGTGGAGACAGGGTTTCACCATGTTGCCCAAATTGGTCTTGAACTCCTGGCCTCAAGTGATCCTCCTCCCTTGGCCTCCCAAAGTGCTGGGATTACTGGCGTGAGCCACCGTGCCCAGCCACTTTCAAGACTCTTCTTGAGTGCTTTCTTATGGACATGGTGTCATGGACTCCAGACCTGATATCTCTAAGCTGTTATTGCCAGTCCCCTCCCTCATGCTGACCTAACGTTCAGCATGTCCAGACTGGGGTATAACAATTGCCCCCACTTCAGCTCCTGTCTTGCTCTTCATCCTGCACCCCCATATCAGTGACACTGTCCTGCAGTCACCCAAGCTAAGAAATGAAGTCAGTCCCATCTCCTTTGCCTCAGCTCCAGGTCTACCGCTATGAGTTCCAGCTCCCTACGGATGTCAGCTCCATCCTTCCCCTCTAAGCCCTCAAGGCTTTGCTACCTTGGATACTTTAACTTCACTTCCAAAACCTTTTTGTCCCCTCATTCCACCCCAGGGAACATCTGCAAGCTCTACTGACCCTGGAATGCAGCTTTAGGGGCTCTCTCCACACTTCCCCAACCCCAACTTTACCTTCAAGACCCAACTTAAGCATCACCTCTGAGAAGAGCCTATCTTCCCATCATAGCACCAGTTGACACTGGACTGCAAGTGCCTGTTTACTTGTCCCTTGTCTTTGCCATTCATGGGCTGTGGCAAAAATGGACAGAAAGATGGTCCCATCTCCTTTGCCTCAGCCATGGTGAGCCATGGTGGCTCATGCCTAATCTCAGCACTTCAAGAGGCAGAGGTGGAAGGGTTGCTTGAGGCTAGGATGGGGAGACCAGCTGGGCACCATAGCGAGACCCTGTTTCTACATAAATAAATAAATTTTTTTGGTTACTATTTATTTTTATTACTATTTTTATTTTTTATTACTATTTTTTTGAGACAGTCTCACTCTTGTCACCCAGGCTGGAGTGCAATGGTGTGATCTCGGCTCACTGCAACCTCCACCTCCCATTTCAAGCAATTCTCCTTCCTCAGCCTCCTAAGTAGCTGGGATTACAGGCATCTGCCACTATGCCCGGCTGATTTTTTTTGTTTTTGTTTTTTTGAGATGGAGTCTCACTCTGTCTCAGCCTTCTGAGTAGCTGGGATTATAGGCCAATTAATTTTTGCATTTTTAGTAGAGACAGGGTTTCACCATGTTGGCCAGGCTGGTCTCGAACTCCTGATCTCAGGTGATCTGCCTGCTTCAGCCTCCCAAAGTGCTGGGATTACAGGCGTGAGCCACCTTGCCCAACCCAAAATAAATTTAAAACAACGCATGGGTTTGGATTTATGATGGGCCGGATTCCCTGGGCCTCTCATAGTACCCCATGCCAGAGCAAACTGTAGCCCCGAACCATTGCCTGGCCTCTATGCCCGTAGGCTGCTGGCATTGAAATGGGTTGCACAGTAGAAAACAAGAAAAAATAAATTTTATAACTTTGGAATTTAAAATTTTTTATTTATTTTTGAGACAGCCTTGCTCTGTCGCCCAGCCTGAAGTACAGTGCCACAGTAGTAGCTCACTGCAGCCTCAACCTCCTGTGCTCAAGTGATCCTCCTACCTCAGCCTCCTCATTTGCTGTGACTACAAGTGTGCGTCACCATGCCCAGCTTTTTTTTTTTTTCCAATAGTGCTGGGATTACAGGCGTGAGTCACCGCGCGCTGGGCTGGGATGTTTTGAGGATGAAAATAAGTAAGTTTACATAACAAAGCAGTTAAAACCTTTAATGTTGTGTTACAGTTTTCTCTCCTTCACTAGACTGAGATCTGAGGGTTGTGCCTTGCTCACTGGAGCTCTGCCGAATGCAGTGCATGTCTGATGAACATAGTATACTTATGGGCCCTTTCAGATCTAGGGTTTATGAGGACGTAACCAAGGGCCAAGTGTGCGATCACCTCCTACCCCCAACACAAACGGAGATGCCGGGAACCCCTTTTAGGTTTACATCCCCATTTGGTTCCTTGACATCTCACTTGGCACCTGAGCCTGGAGAACCCTAACTTTCTTCCTCTCCCACCCACCCCACTCACAGGCACGGGTGGGGTGAGGATATAATACTTTATTCACTAACACGGGCCAAGGGAATGTAGTGATGGAGGATGGGCACTGTTTCCAGGGACCCCGGCAGGGGATTCTCCCTGTCTTCCAGTTCCAGGGCAGCCGGGCCTGCAGTCCCCTCAATTTTCCAGACCTGGAGGCCGGCGCAGAAGGAGCCCGGGTTAGTGCAGCCAGGTCGAAGCCCCAGGGCGCCCCTCCGCAGCCCTGCGGGGCTCAGCTACCCTCGCACTCCGGGCAGCGCTCGGTGGCAGTGGCGGCCGTGGCGCCAGGGGGCAGCTTGAAGTCCCTGCCGCAGCCGGCGCAGATATACAGGCGGCGCCGCATGTGCGCGCGTCGGTGGCGAATGAAGTGCGAGCTTAGGCGGAATCGGCGGCCGCACTCGGCGCAGGGGTAGGGCCGCTCGCCTGTGTGCGTGCGCGCATGCTCCGCCAGGTTGGAGCGGTGGCCGAAGCGACGGCCACACACAGCGCAGCGGTGCGGCTTCTCGCCCGTGTGCACGCGCCGGTGCTTGGCCAGCGCCGAACTCTGGGCGAAGCGCGTGCCGCAGTCGGCGCATGCGTATGGCCGCTCGCCCGTGTGCGTGCGTCGGTGACGCGCCAGGCACGAGCTGCCGCCGAAGGCGCGTCCGCAGTCCGGGCACGCGTACGGCTTCTCGCCCGTGTGCACGCGCAGGTGCTGTGCGTAGTTGGAGCTCTGCGCGAAGCGGCGGCCGCAGTGCGCGCATGCGTACGGCTTCTCGCCCGTGTGCCGCCGCCGGTGCTGCCGCAGGTTCGAGGCGGCCGAGAAGCGCTTGTCGCACTCGGGACACTCGTAGGGCCGCTCGCCCGTGTGCGTGCGGCCGTGTTTGGTCAGCGCCGACTTCTGCGAGAAGCGCCGCCCGCACTCGGTGCACGCGAAGGGCCGTTCGCCCGTGTGCGTGCGCGCGTGCTTGGCCAGCGTGGAGCGGCGCGCGAAGGCGCGGCCGCAGTCGGGGCACGCGTGGGGACGCGCCGGGTCGGCGGACGGCGCGGGCGCCTCGCCCGGGACCTGCGGGGAGAGGGGGATAGGTCAGCCCTTAGCGGCAGGCCCCGGAGCCAGAGACCTGGGTCTCCACAGGCTGCTCCCTCTGTGAGCCTCAGTTCCCCATCTGTGAAATAGGAAAGGCCACGGTGCTGCCTCGCAGGATGGCTGTGCGCATCCGGTGAGATAATGCGCGTAACGCACACATCACAAAGCCCAGCGGCGTTCTAGCTATTTTTATTAATTCACCCAATATTTACTGAGGGCGTGCAGTGTCCTAGACTGTTCTAGGCATGGGGATTCCGCATTAAATAAAAAGGATTTTAAAAATTACTGCTTTCAGGAATAATGGATAAGGAATGCTGGTATTGGAGATGCTACAGATTTAAAACAGGGTTGTCAAGACACCTTACCGACATGATAACGTGAACAAAGACTTAAAGGAGGTGACAGAGCAGGCTACGTGGATAGCCCTCTGAGGAGCATTGCAGAGGGAACAGCAAGGCGCAGAGGCGGGAGTTGTCTGCTGAGTTCCAGAAATGGCAAGAAAAAATTGGTTAAAGCAGAATGCATGATGGGGGAAGTCACCGATGTGGTGGTGGAGGAGATCGCTTGGCTTATAGGGCCTTGTATTTGTTATATTTGGCTTTTTTTTTTTTTTAAGAGACAGGGTCTTGCTGTGGCCCCGGCTTGGTCCCGAACCTCCTGGCTCAAGCAGTTCCTCCTGACTCAGCCTTCTTAGTAGCTGGGGTTACAAGCACATACCACTGTGCCTGGCTCTGGCTTTTAATATAAAGGAGACAGGGAACTGTAAGAGATGTCAGAGGGCTTTGAGCAGAGAAGTGACCATATCCTACACATTAAAAAAGGCTCCCTCAGCCTACTGGGGTTGAAAACCAAATGAAGGAGTTGGAGAGCGCAGAAGCACAAGCCCAGTGAGGAGGCCACTACAGCCACCTGCCAAGATAGGGGCTCAGACCCAGGTGACAGAAGTGGACGGTGGATGGTGGAGGTGGTGAGAAGTGATTGGCTTCTGGATCTATTTGCAGTGTGAGAGAATAGATTTAATAAAACATTAGATATGAGATGTAAAGAAAAAGATCAAAATGACTTCAAGGTTTTTGAGCTTAGCAGCTGCAAAGGTGGAGTTGCCATTTACAGAGATAAGGACGGTGGGAGGAGCAAGTTGAGAGAGGAGATCTGTTTTGGATGGTGTCATGGCTTCTTGACATATCTGGAGCTCAGAAGCGACACCTAGACTGAAGATGTTAACTGAGAAGCTGTCAACCTATAGATGGTTTATAAAGCCTTGAGAATTAGTGGATGAGATCATCCAGGGGATGGGCAGAGAGAACCTAGGGCAGCAAGATGGGGAGAAGCCAGGGAGGGAAGAGAGCAGGAGAGGGGCATCCTGGAAGCCAGGCCAGGACCAAGTCCAGGCTCTTAATCAGCTTTGAATAGCAAACACCTATCATTTTTTAAGCAGTGAAGAAAAAGGCAAGAGTAAAACCCAAATGCTATTCTGAGGTCTGAAACGAAAAATCTGAAAATGAGCCAATTTCACAAGCTCTGGCCTTCTAGAGATAAATATCAGAAAAAGGAAAGAAATGCCTTGTAAGAGGCACGTGAAGGGAAAACATTCTGGACTAAGAGTGAAGAGTATTGAGGGCACACTGCTCCCTTTAGAAAAAAGAATGCTCAAAACCCCAGCAAAACTGATGTCGAGTATCTACTGTGGTCAAGCAATTAATTCATGACCAAATGAAGTACCTGGGACATATTAAGGACAAGAGAGTGTCAGCTTCTCCCATATTTGATCTCCACAAGGTAATTATCATCATCCCCATTTTACAGATGGGGAGACAGGTTAAGAGGGTGACAGCAAGGCCAGGTGCAGCGGCTCACCAGCACTTTGGGAGGCCAAGGCGGGTGGATCACGAGGTCAGGAGTTCGAGCCCAAGATGTTGAAACCCTGTCTCTACTAAAAATACAAAAATTAGCTGGGTGTGGTGGCTCATGCCTGTAATCCCAGCTACTCGGGAGGCTGAGGCAGGAGAATCACTTGAACCCGGGAGGCAGAGGTTGCAGTGAGCTGAGATCATGCCACTGCACTCCAGCCTGGGTGACAGGGCGAGACTCCATCTCAAAAAAAAAAAAAAAGAAAGAAATTATTAGAAAACAGGGCAATTTGGGAAATTAGTGACCAACCAAGGGAAATCTGGTTTAAATAGTATATATACTCATAACAATAGCAACAATCAATAGCAAAGTATTAAGCTTTGACAACACTATGTATGTTATTGTATTAAATCCTCCTGTCACCCGCCTTGAGCTGGGTGTTGTCTCTTTCGATAGCTGAGAAAGCTGAGGCTGAGGGCGATGAAATTCACATGGCTAGTGGGAGCCAGGAAGGACTCAGGGTGCCCATGAGACCATGCCGTTGTTCAGGCTACACTGTTCTGAAGTCATGTGACCAAGATGTGACAGAGGCTGAACTCCAAGTCCCTGGCACACTCCAAGAGGGATTCAAGGTTAAAATACAAATTGATACTTTAAATGGAGAAACTCCCCACAACATGTTTGGCACCATCTGAATTCAAGGTCACATTTTCCAGTCTTGCCCTGGTTTTGAAATCTGTTATTTCAATACATCAGCCCCTGTGGAGAGAACTTGTCTCATCATATCTACGTTTTTCTGGCCCGTTTTTCCTTGGCACCCTCTTTAAGGTGACTTTGGACAGCCTGAGGGCTTCCTCATGCTGGGATCACTGACTTCTGAAAAAGAAATTCTCCACACAAGCATTGTTGATGTCTCCAGCCCAGGAGAAGGGGCCTTGGGTGCCCGAGGAAAAATCTTGGTAAGAGGAGCTGAATCCAGCTCATTAAGATCCTCCTCTGCCCCAGTGTCCTGAGAAAGGCCAGGTAGGCTAAGTGAGATCAACTTCCCCGTATGAGGCCAGGTGCAGTGACTCACACCTGTAATCTCAGCACTTCGGGAGGCCAAGGAAGGAGGATTACATGAAGCCAGGAGTTGGACACCAGCCTGGGCAACACAGTTAGACCTCATCTCTACAAAAAGTGAAAAATTAGCCAGGTGTGGTGAGGTGCACAAGTAGTTGTAGTCCCAACTGCTTGGTAGCCTGAGGAAGGAGGATCACTTGAGCTCAGGCTGCAGTGAGCTACGATCACGTGCCACTGCACTCCAGCCTGGGTGACAGAGTGAGATCGTGTCTCTAAAAAAAGAAAAAAGAAAAAAAAAAAATTTCCCAGCATGAGGTATGAGGTGGTATGTGGGCAAACTTTTAAAAAGTCTCATTATAATTGTTATGCATTTATTTTCACAAATATTAAAAAACAAGAGAGCACATGAAACCCACAGTTTCATCAGTACTATTATTTAGATGAAGGTAAATTTATTTAGCAAAACAATGTGAATCTATTTGAAGAAAAGGATTAATAAATAATATGAGTACAACATATGAGCAATACACATGTGACTGAAACTTGGCAAATACCAGACTAGGTGATCATTAATGACCCAAGTGTGTCTTAAATTCTACAACTATTAGATTTAAAAATTAGAATAAATGGTATTTGCACTATAACAAGAGGTTACTATGGATATACAATGTAGTGTAATAATATAATAATCCAGGTATTAGAAGTTAGTGATTTTTGTCTTCCTGCTTAAATGTTTTTTTAACCAGGGCAAACATCCCAGTTTCTTCCTTAGCCATTATTTCTCTAATTAATACAATAACTCCCACTTGTTGGGCACTCACCATGTGCCAGGAACTGTGCCAAGTGCTTTTTACCAGTACTCTCTTTCTAAATTCTCACCATGACTTCAGTTAGGTGCCTTAGCCCTGTTTTATATATAAGGAAATAAGACTCAGAAGTTAAGTGAGTACACAAGGCTATACAGCTAATAAATGGCAGAGCCAGGGTTTGAACTGAAGTTACTCATTTTCCAGAACACCTATTCTCTTAACCATTATGCAATCCTTTTTTAATTCTCTTTTTTGAGAAAAGGTCTCACTGTGTCACCCAGGCTGGATGCAGTGGCATGATCATGGCTCACTGCAGTCTTGGGCTCACTGCAGCCTTGACCTCCCAGGCTTAAGCAATCCTCCTGACTCAACCCCCCAAATAGCTGGGGCTACAGGGGCATGCCACCACACCTGGCTAATTTTTGTATTTTAGTAGAGACGGGGTTTTGCCATGTTGCCCAGGCTGGTCTCAAACTCCTGAGCTCAATCAATCCTCCTGCCTCGGCCTCCAAAAGTGCTGGGATTACAGGCAAGAGCCATCGTGCCCAGCCTCCATGATACAATTCTAATCTCACTGACTAGAGTTTGAGGCCACTTATGCAGCTTGTCTCTTTCCCGTGGCCCCTTTTTGTGGTCACAGTCTTCCTTCTTTTTGGTACAAACTGTTAAACACAATCCCTGTCCTCTAGTTCCTTGCTGGAGGATATATGGTCCACAGACCAGCAACATCAGCATCACTGGGAACTTTTTAGAAATGCAGAATCTCAAATCCCACTCCAGATTTTACTGAATTAAAATCCTCATTTTAACAAGACCCCTGGGTGATCTGTATGCATGTTAAAAATTAAGAAACTGATCTAGAAGAGAAAAGAGCTACTCCTGGAGAAAGCAGGGAGCAAAGGTGAAGAGGGCTTTGCAGGCTGAGACCACAAGGAGGGATGGGATAGGTGTCGAGGGGATGAAGCCAGAATGGCATGAGGTCTGATGGTGAAGAGCTTTGAATGCCAAGTTTAGCAGCTGAGACCTCACCCTGAGGGAAGCAGAAAACTACTCAAGGGTTCAAGCCAGGGAAAGATAGGTTTGTATGTGCATGGAGCCCTCTGAGAAAATCTTTCTAAAAGATCGATTGGGTTTTGATGGCAGAGGGAGAATACTCTAGCCCCTGCATGCAGCGTAATTAAGGCTCTTCTGGACAGTGACTGGCCACAGGACTGGCAATAGCTAGGACTCACTGAATGTCACCACTGGAAGGCGCTTTCGAGGTCACCATTTCATAGATGGAGAAATGAGGCTCAGGAAGGCCCACAGCAAGCTGACGATCGAGCGCTCTTCTGGGCACCGTGTAACAGTTCATGGGATATGTGTGCATAATCCTCGATTTCACCCATCTCCTCCAAATCCAGTCACCCTGATGACACTTCTCAGACGGGCATTCAAGGGTCTTTTTCTATTACCCCATTTTACAGATGTGAAAGCCAAAGAAAAGCTGGTCAATGGTGGAGTTAGAACCACTGCGTGATACCATTAACAACCTGGCCCTATGTGCCTTTTATGAGTAGCCATGCCAAACCTTCACTGCACATACCGCTTGGCTCTAGCCAAGTTCCTAAATGGCACCTTTTCCTCGTCATTGCTGTTACTACCTTAGAGCAGGCCCTACCTGGCCTGGTCTCCCTATAGCAGCCAATAATTCTTCTAAACAGAAAATCCAATCATGTTCCTCCTCTGATTTTTTTTAGACAGAATCTTGCTCTATTGCCCAGGCTGGAGTACAGTGTGCAATCTCAGCTCACTGCAATCTCCACGTCCTGGATTCAAGTGATTCTCCTGCCTCAGCCTCCCGAGTAGCTGGGATTGCAGGCACATGCCACCACACCCGGCTAATTTTTGTATTTTTAGTGGAGATGGGGTTTCGCCATGTTGGCCAGGCTGGTCTCAAATTCCTGACCTTAGCCTCCCAAAGTGCTGGGATTACACGCATGAGCCACCATGCCTGGCCTGTTTTTGTTTTTTGACACAGGGTCTCTTTCTGTTGCCCAGGCTGGAGTACAGTGATGCAGTCATGGCTCACTGCAGCCTTGAACTCCTGGGCTCATTCAGCCTTCAAAGTAGCTAGGACTACAGCCACCATGCCCAGCTAATTAAAAAAAAATTTTTGTAGAGATGAGGTCTCCCTTTGTTGCCCAGGGAGGTCTCGAACTCCTAGGCTCAAATGATGCTCTCGCCTTGGCTTTCTAAAGTCCTGGGATTACAGGCGTGAGCCACCACGTCTGGCTCTTCCCATGATTTAAGGCCTCTGATGTTGCCACAGAACCTAACACAGTACGTCCTGCCCTAGCTTTCAAGGCCCCTCTGTCCCCCAACTGCCTTTCCAGTCTCATTTCCTCTGAGTCTTTGCTTTTGCTGTTTCCTCCTCCTGGAATGCCCTTCACCCTCCTCCATGTGCCAAACCCCCACAAAGCCTTCAAGGCCCAAGTCAGAAATTATCTCCTCTGGGAAGCCTTCCCCACTGCCTTGAGTCGTTTGCCTTCAATCCTCTGTGCCCCCACATTCACTTCCCTGATCAACCCCAGTTCTCATGGTTCAGCCCAGGCCTTTGATAAAAATGAGTTGAGCAAGGCGTGGTGCTCACGCCTGTAATCCCAGCACTTTGGGAGGCTGAGGTGGGCGGATCACGAGGTCAGGAGTTCAAGAACAGCCTGACCAATATGGTGAAACCCCATCTCTACTAAAAATACAAAAATTAGCTGGGCATGGTAGCTTGCACCTGTAATCCCAGCTACTCAGGAGGCTGAGGCAGGAGAATTGCTTGAACTCGGTAGGTGGAAGTTGCAGTGACCCAAGATTGCACCACCGCACTCCAGCCTGGGCGACAGAGTGAGACGCCGTTTAAAAAAAAAAAAAAAGCTGAAAAATCTCCAGAAGGATGACCTTGCCCAAGGTCCCGAGCTTTGGGGAGAAGAATAAATGTAACAGCAACTATCTCCATGTTTATTATGTGCCAGACACAGTTCTAATTCTGTGCATGTGTTGACTTATTCATTCCTCACAACTCCAAGATGTAGGTGCTGTTATAATTTCCCTTTTACAAATGAGGAAACTGAGGCATGAAGCAGTTAGGAAACTTGCCCAAGGTCACACAGTGGGTAAGTGATGGAGCTGGAAGTCCACCCTAAGCTCTGGAGCCTGTGTTTGTAACTTAGAGGCCAAAAGTGGAGATCAGGCAATGGCAGGGCCGGAAGAGGCAGGCAGAGCTGGATAATGGGCCAAGGGGGCCCGCAACAAACAGAACCAGATAGTTATTAGACTGGAAGAGGAGGCCTGAGGAGCTTGTCCCCTCCCCCAGCACCCACCACGCCCACTAGGGGGCAGCAAAGCATTCTTTCCCTGGGAACTGGCTCCTGGGCAGGAAGAATCAGAGCCCGGGCCCCTGCAAACTGAGTCCCCTGGAGCCAAGCCCTCTGCTGGGACTCAGGGCTGCTCCGGCTGTGGGAGGACAGAGTCCTCTGGGGTTCTGACAAGTGGAAACATATCTGGTGGCAGTTAGCGTCTTCAGAGGGGAAATTGAACTCATATTCTGATCTCAAAACCTTCAAATACCCTGAGAATAAAAGGTAGACTCCCTGTGTGGCCTGCCAACCACCCCCCATCATCCACACTACTGCATGACCAACCACTCACCCTCACTGGGGCAGTGCACTACTCACTCGTCTGAGCCTCTACAAGGGCCATTTCTGGCTGGATGTGGTGGCTCACACCTAGCTGAGGTGGGAGGATCACCTGAGCTCAGGAGTTTGAGACCAGTCTGGCCAACATGGCAAAACCCCAACTCTACTAAAAATACAAAAAATTAGCCAGGCGTTGGTGGCACATGCCTGTAATCCCAGCTACTTGGGAGGCCGAGGCAGGAGAATCACTTGAGGTGGAGGTTGCAGTGAGCCAAGATCGCACCACTGCACTCCAGCCTGGGCGACAGAGCGAAACTCTGTCTCAAAACAAAACAAAAAAAATTAGCCAGGTGTAGTGGTGCATGCCTGTAGTCCCAGCTACTGGAGAGGCTCAGGAGGGAAGATCACCTGAGCCCGGGAAGTCAAAGCTGCAGTGAGCTGTACTGCACTCCAGCCTGGGTGACTAAATGAGACCTTGTCTCAAACAATAACAGCAATAATAATAAAAAGGCTATTTCCTCTGCCTGGGTCCATCACCCCACTTCCGCCCCCAGACTCCTACTGGTCTCACATAAGCCATCCTTTTACTAACTTTGAGACCTGTGGCCAGTTATCAAACTGCCCTGGGCCTCAGTCTCCTCATTTGTAAAATGGATTAAATGCTCCAACATCATAGAATCGAAGTGCTTAGAACAGGGCCTGGCACATAGAAAATGCTAGGCAAGGGTTAGCTATTGTTACTGTTGCTGTTGAACTAACCTGTCCTTTCCCCCACCTCTAAATCTAAGTTCCCACTTCTAGGCTTCATCATCTTCCTGTACCTGCAACCATCACGCGGGATTCTAACTGTGTGGTTACCCTTCAGTCTAACATCAAGCTCCATGGGGGATCCAAGGACGGAGTTTAATCTCCTGCACCCAGCAGGAAGCCTGGCACAGTAGGCGTGACTGTATGATGGAAGCCCAGGCAGTGGGGCAGAAGTATGGGCCAACCCTGAGGTTGTAGATCTGAGATTCTGGGAAAAGTAGGGGCAAGATCCCTGGCTTCTATCTGAGGGAGGCTGGGCCTGGACCAGGTTTGAGGACAGTGGGCCCCAGGGTGTGTGTGACACATACCTCCTTGTTGTCCATGGGGATCTTGAGTTTCACCACCTCATACTTCTCCTCACCCTCATCCTCCTCACCCTTCACCAGCAGCACCATCTCCTCCTGCATCTCTTCCTCCTCCTCCTCCTCTGCCTGCTGTTCGCCAGGCATCTTGGTGTCCTGAGGCGGGGAGCTGGATCAGAAGCTCAGGACCCGCCCCCCCCCGCCCCACACCGTGGCCCTGGCCCAGCAAGGCGGTGCAGCCGTGGCTTCTCCCGCCCTGCCCTGGTCTCCGAATCTGGTCCTCTCCCGTCCACCCCAGCCCGGCCCCACGCTCTGGCACAGCCCCGGGACCAGCTCATCCCGGCATTCAAGGCCCTGAACAGTTCGAATCTCCAGCCCCCGCAAGTCGCCACCATCCTTGCGCTGAGTCACTCCCCAGGGCCCGGGTCGGCGACCTGGAGCTCTGGGGCATGGGCTGGAGGCGGGATCGGAGCGGAAACCCTGGGGAGGAGGTGCGCACTCACCAGCCGAAGGTTCCGCGCTTGCGGTGCCCCAGGCCTGGGCGCCGGGCGGTTGGGCACTGAGAGAGGCCGCGGCTCCGGGGGCGGGGAGAGGGCGGGGCCGCAGGGACGGCCGGTCATTGGTCCGAACATGTAGTCCCACCCCCTGGGGCGGAGCCCTAAAGGACCCAGGAGTCCGGCCCAAACGGCTCCGAGAGGGCGGCGAGTTCAGACCTGGCGTGGCGTCCCCCGCAGTCCCGCGACTCCCAAGTACCTGGAGCCGCCCCAGCGCCCGGCGTTCAAGGTCCTCGCAGCCGAGTTCCAACCTACCCTCGCGGCCTGTCTCCTGGGGCGGGCTCGGAGGTCTCCGCTGCGCCCAGCGCCTTTGCTCCGCCCGAACTAGGCCACGTGCGCTCCCTCCCCGGCCTGGGCCCCTCGCTGGCGCCTCGCCTGGAGGGCGGACCCTGCTGCCTCCTCACTTCTTCCATTCCCTCTTTCTATCTCCTCTGCCGTCTTTTCTCCTTCTTTCTCGGCGTCGCCTATTCCGCTGGCCTCTGGGATATCTTGCTCCTTGAATACATCCTAACCAAATCAACATCCACCCAAGCTACCGCTGTCGTGTCATGCGTGGGGTGCTTACCATGCGCCAGCGCTGTTCAGCGTCTTACACACCTGGTCTCATTTGATCGGCACAGCGATGGGTCCTGATCCATTTTACAGATTAGCTCACTGAAGTTCAGGGAGGTAAACTGATCTGCCTAAGTTACACAGTAAAGATGTCATAGCATCCCTGACAACCAGAAGCCTAGGTGGACAACAGCCCAAAGCTAAATCCAGTCCACAGGGGTACCTTGTTTGGGCCTTAGGGTATTTTTACTTTTAAAAAAATCGTTTCGGCCGTGCGCGGTGGCTCACGCCTGTAATCCCAGCACTTTGGGAGGCCGAGGCGGGCGGATCACGAGGTCAGGAGATGGAGACCATGAAACCCCGTCTCTACTAAACAGAATACAAAAAATTAGCCGGGCGTGGTGACGGGCGCCTGTAGTCCCAGCTACTTAGGAGGCTGAGGCAGGAGAATGGCGTGAACCTGGGAGGCTGAGCTTGCAGTGAGCCGAGATCTCACTAATGCACTCCAGCCTGGGCAACAGAGCGAGACTCCGTCTCAAAAAAAAAAAAATCATTTCAAGGCCGGGCGCGGTGGTTCATGCCTGTAATCCCAGCGTTCTGGGAGGCGGAGGCCGGTGGATCACTTGAGGTCAGGATTTCGAGACCAGCCTGACCAACATGGTGAAATCCCGTCTCTACTAAAAAGACAAAAATTAGCCCAGCGTGGTGGTGCACGCCTGTAATCCCACCTACTCCAGAGGCTGAGGCATGAGAATCACTTGAACTCGGGAGGCAGTGGTTACAGTGAGCCGAGATCGCGCCATTGCATTCCAACCTGGGCAATAAGATCGAAACTCTGTCTCAAGAAAAAAAAAATAAATTGGGATATTTAATATAAAAATATATTTTATATGAAAATATACAAATTCCGCTTCCTTTGAAAAAAAGCCACTTCGCTTGAAAAAGCAGATATTAGCCGGGTGAGGTGGCTCACGCCTGTAATCCCCGCATTTGGGAGGCAGAGACGGGCGGATCACGAGGTCAGGAGATCGAGACCATCCTGGCTAACACGGTGAAACCTCCGTCTCTACTAAAAATACAAAAAAATTAGCCGAGCGTAGTCCGGGCGCCTATAGTCCCAGCTACTGGGGAGGCTGAGGCAGGAGGATGGCGTGAACCCGGGAGGTGGAGCTTGCAGTGAGCTGTGATCGCGCCACTGCACTCCAGCCTGGGTGACTGAGTGAGACTCTGTCTCAAAAAATAAAAATAAAATAAAAAATAAATTAAATTTAAAAAGGAAAAAGCAGATATGCAAGTCTCCCATTTTATGAATGGGGCAACTAAGATTCAGAAATCATGAAGGAAAAGAGAAATAACATTCAATAAGTGCTTACAAGTCCTATGTTGTCTCTTTACAACAGCCTTGTTGGGATCAATAATATCTCCATTGGACAAAAGAGGAAACTGAAGCTTAGAGAAGTTGAGTAATTTGCTCAAAGTCACACAGCTGGCAAGCAGCAGATGCAAAGCTTGTGCTCTTCTATTGCACCAAATTACCTCTCAGGAATTAAGTTATAAAGTTGGCTCTTTCGCAGAGCTGGGAAAAGGAATCAAATGCCTGGATACTCACACATAGGATCCCCAAAAGCCACTTTATTGTGTTCATTCTCTGAGGTTTTTTTTTGGTTTTTTTTGTTTTTTTTGTTTTTTTGAGATGGAGTCTTGCTCTGTCACCCAGGTTGGAGTGCAATGGCACACTCTAGGCTCACTGCAACCTCCGCTTCCCAGGCTCAAGTGATTCTCCTGCCTCAGCCTCCCAAGTAGGTGGGATTACAGGCACACACCACCACACCCAGCTATTTTTGTATATTTTGTAGAGACAGGGTTTCACCATGTTGGCCAGGCTAGTCTCAAACCCCGACCTCGTGATCCACCCGCCTCGGCCTCCCAAAGTGCTGGAATTAAAGGCTTGAGCCACCACGCCCAGCCTCTCTGAGTATTTATTGAGTCCTATGTACCTGTCACCATTCTAGGTATGGGAGATGTAGTAGTGAACAAAACATAAAAATCTTGGCTCTTGTGGCACTACTAAGGGTGCAAAAAAAATGTAAACATGTAAATAAGGAAGATAATATCAGATAATAATAGGTGCAACAAGGGAAATCTGACAAGATGATCCAACAGGGAGCGGCTATGGTAACAGGGGCTTCTTTAATGCAGGCAGGGAAGGCGTCTCAGGATACTTTTTTTTTTTTGAGATGGAGTCTCACTCTGTCACCTAGGTTGGAGTGCAGTGGCACGATCATGACTCAATTGCAACCTCCACCTCCCAAGTTCAAGGGATTCTCCTGCCTCAGCCTCTGAGTAGCTGAGATTACAGGTGTGCACCACCACACTCAACTAATTTTTTTATATTTTTGGTAGAGACAGGGTTTCTCCATGTTGGCCAGGCTGGTCTTGAACTCCTGACCTCAAGTGATCCACCTGCCTTGGCCTCCCAAAGTGCTGGGATTACAGGCGTGAGCCACTGTGCCCAGCCTGGATACAATATTTTGTTTGTTTGTTTGTTTGAGACGGAGTCTCCAACTGTCGCCCTGGCTGGTGTACAGTGGCGGGATCTTGGCTCGCTGCAACCTCCGCCTCCCGGGTTCAAGTAGTTCTCCTGCCTCAGCCTCCCGAGTAGTTAGGATTACAGGCACCTGCCACCACGCCTGGCTAATTTTTTGTATTTTCAGTAGAGACAGGGGTTTCACTATGTGAGCCAGGCTGGTCTCAAATTCCTGACCTCAAGTGATCCACCCGCTTCGGCCTCCCAAAGTGCTGGGATTATAGGTGTGAGCCACCGCATCTGGCCTGGATACAATATTTGAGATGAACCTTTAATGATGAGAAAGGGTTAGCCATTTGAAAATCTGGAAGACGAGTGTTTGAGACTGAACTGCAGAGGCCTTGGAGAAGAATCTTGGTGTGTTTGAGGAATAGGAAGAAGGCTTGTGTTGCTGGATCTGAGCATCCAAAGGAATGAACAAGGGGAAATGCAGCAGGGGAGATGGAGGAGAGGTAGGCAGGGGGTAAACTTGGCCAGAACCCAACCTCTAGCGAAAGCAATGCATCTCACTCACCCTGATTAAAAGAGAATCAGTGAGGAGACTCAGCCAGGAGCCTGTCTCTGGCAGTGAAAGCCCTACTGGAAGGAGCCTCCTGCTATTTTAAACAGGAACTTGGAAAAAGAAGGTAAAGGGCTCCATCGATGTGCCCTGCAATCATGTACAGGTATCTACTTGCAATACGATCTAGTTCATGTTCTTGAGGATCTCATAGTCTAGTAAAGAAGTTTTTGGTCATGCCTATAATCCCAGCACTTTGGGAGGCCGAGGCAGGTGGATCACCTGAGGTCAGGAGTTCGAGACCAGGCCTGGGCCGCTAGTGAACCCCATCTCTACTAAAAATACAAAAATTAGCGACGCGTGGTGGCGCATGTCTATAGTCCTCAGTACTTGGGAGGCTGAGCAGGAGAATCGCTTAAGTCTGTCTCAAAAAAAACAAAAGAAGTTTTTGGGGCTGGGGCAATGGCCACACCTGTAATTACCACGCTTTGGAGGTCCAAGGCAGGTAGTCACTTGGGGTCAGGAGTTCAAGCCAGTCTGGCCAACATGGTGAAACCCTGTCTTTACTAAAAATACAAAAATAGCTGGGCATAGTGGCACATGTCTGTAATCCCAGATACTCGGGGGCGAGGGCATGAGAATCGCTTGACCCAGGAGGTGGAGGTTGCCGTGAGCTGAGATTGTGCACTGTACTCCACCTGGCAACAGAGCAAGACCCTGTCTTAAAAAAAAAAAAAAAAAAGAGGGAAGGAGAAAGGCGGCTTTGTGCGGCGGCCCAGTGGCTCTCACCTGTAATCGTAGCGACTTTGGGAGATTTGAGGCAGGGTGATTGCTTGAGCTCAGGAGTTGGGAACCAGCATGGGAAATGTGGTGAAACCCCGGTCTCTACAAAAATCACCAAAAAAAAAAATTTGCTGAGCATAATGGTGCACATGCCTGTAGTCCCAGATACCTGTGTGGCTGAGGAGGAGGAGCACTTGAATCAGGGGAGGTCGCGAGGCTGCAGTGAGCCGATATTGCATGCTCTACTCCAGCCTGGGTGACAAAGTGAGACCCTGTCTCAAACAGTAAAAATTTAAAAAAAGAAGCTTCTGGCCGGGCGCGGTGGCTCAAGCCTGTATATCCCAGCACTTTGGGAGGCCGAGACGGGCGGATCACGAGGTCAGGAGATCGAGACCATCCCTGGCTAACACAGTGAAACCCCGTCTCTACTAAATACAAAAAATTAGCCGGCGAGGTGGCAGGCGCCTGTGGTCCCAGCTACTCGGGAGGCTGAGGCAGGAGAATGGCGTGAACCCGGGAGCAGAGCTTGCGTGAGCTGGAGTCCGGCCACTGCACTCCAGCCTGGGTGACAGAGCGAGACTCCGCTCAAACAAAAAAAAAAAAAAAAAAAGAAGCTTCTGATTTAAAAAATATATATAAATATACAGTATGAGTGATATATGAAAAGGACAATAGGGTGTTCTGGCAGGAGAAGAGTGGGGTAAGTGAACAACTCCTTTGCAGGTATTAGGTATTTGGTGCAGGTCTCACTGAGAAGGTAACTGTGAAGAACCTTGAAAGATGAGTGGGTGTCAGGTGTAGTGATGCACACCTATGGTCCTAGCTACTTAGGAGGCTGAGGCAGGAGAACTGCTGGAGCCCAGGGGTTCAATGCTATAGTGCAGTATGTTTGTGCCTGTGAATAGCTACTGTATTCCAGCCTGGGCAATATAGTGAGACCCCCGTCTCTAAAAAAACAAACAAACAAAAACTAAAGATGAGTGGGAGTTTGCCAGATTGGCCAGGAGGCAGTAGGTTGTGGAAATATATATATATATATGTTTTTTTGGTTTTTTGTTTTTTGATACAGGGTCTCACTCTGTCCCCCAGGCTGGAGTGCAGTGTGCAGTCACAGCTCACTGCAACCTCCACCTCCCAGGCTCAAGCGATCCTCCTGCCTCAGCCTCCCGAGTAGCTGGGACTACAGTATTTTTTGGTGGTGGCAGGAGTCGTTTTTGTTTTTTGGAGACAGGATCTCGCTCTTTTGCCCAGGATGGAGTGCATTGGAGTGATCATGGCTCACTGCAGCCTCAACTTCCTGCTTGGGAGCAGCCCAAGCGATCCTCCCACCTCAGCCTCTTGAGTTGCTGGGACTACAGGTGCATTCCACCTAATTTTTGTATTTTTTGTAGAGATGTCTAACTATGTTGCCCAGTCTGGTCTCGAACTCCTGGCCTCCTGGCCTCCTGCCTCAACCTCCCAAAATGCTGGGATGACAGACCTGAGCCACCGCACCTGGCATGGAGAGGCCTTTGGATCACAGAGGATTCTCTCCCGCTCATAGGTTTGCTGGACATTTCTCACCTCACTTGTAATTATTTGTTCAATGTCTATCTCCCGCATAAAAACAGGTCAGGGACTTTGTCTTTATCTTTCTATCCCAGTACACAGCACACAACAGGTGCAGCTGTTGAGTGAGTAACTAATTACCCTCAAGAAGCTCTTCATGTGTTGGGTGCTCAGAGAGGGGGGTTGCTCAGAGAAGGGGATTCTAACTAACCCAGGCTGGAGGGTCAGAGTAGGCTTCTTGGAGGAAGTAGTGCTTGAGGTGTTTTGACAGAGGAGATTAACAAGAGGTGGGTAGTGATGGAGGAGCATTCCAAGTAAAGGAAACCACATTTAAGGAGCCCAGGGCTGAAACTACACAAGTGGAAGGGCTTGAGTGCCAATGAAAGTTAGGCTTTAGGGACAGCATGTAGAGGTGATCCAGTGGGGTTTTAATGGGGGAGTGACATAGCCAGATGTAATTTTAGAAAGCAGGCCAGGCACGGTGGCTCACGCCTATAAATCCCAGCACTTTGGGAGGCAGAGGCGGGCAGATCACCTGAGGTCAGGAGCTCAGACCAGCCTGGCCAACATGGTGAAATCCCGTCCCTACTAAAAATAAAAAAAATTAGCTGGGCGTGGTGGCTTAATCCCAGCTACTAGGGAGGCTGGGGCAGGAGAATCGCTTGAACCCGAGCGGAGGTTGCAGTAAGCCGAAGATCCTGCCACTGCACTCTAGCCTAAGCGACAGAGTGAGACTCCGTCTCAAAAAAAAAAAAAAGAAAGAAATCAAGAAAAGAAAGTGGCCAGGCGTGGTGGCTCACGCCTGTAATCCCAGCACTTTGGAAGGCCGAGGTGGGCGGATCACGAGGTCAGGAGTTCGAGACCAGCCTGATAAACATGGTGAAACTCCGTCTCTACTAAAAATACAAAAATTAGTCGGGCGTGGTAGCGCGCGCCTGTAATCCCAGCTACTCAGGAGACTGAGGCAGGGGAATCGCTTGAACCTGGGAGGCGGAGGTTGCAGTGAGCCGAGATCGCGCCACTGCACCCCAGCCTGGCCGACAGAGAGAGACTCCGTCTCAAAAAAAAAAAGAAAAGAAAGTTCACTGCAGGTCGGCTTGGAGGGCACACTGGTAGGGAAGGGAGCTAGGAAAACCAGGAAGAAGGAACTTCCAGAAGCCCCAAAGAGCTCCCCTCAGGCCATCAAGAGCCCCAGCCCCGAACGCAGGGTTCTAGGGTTTTCAGAGCCCAGCAATTTGGAAAGCGCGGGCGGAGCAGGAGGAGCCGCACTGCAGCCAGCCCTGGTCCGTTTCTAGGGAAGCCAGGCCGGTGCTTACGATCTCGCGAGAACCCGTCCAGGGATTCTTCCCGCACGGAGATCGGGGAGAGCGGGGGGCGGGAACTTGAGAGCCTGTATTTCGTTGCCTTCATTCCTTAGAGGGGAAAATCGCCCTGGACTTTTTTTTTCTTTAATCTCTGGCCGATCTGGCCAGTGGTTCTCAAAACGCGAGGGATTGCAGACGTGCTTCCGAGGCCCCGCAGGGCGGTGGGAAATCCGGCGGGCTTTTTAGGGGGTGAAGGAGCACTCTGTTTGCCCTCCCTTTGGGCCGTGCAGCCGAATGACTCTTTTGCCGACGCATAAAAAAGGTCTCGGATGTCGGGTTTCCCAGGTCCCGGTGGGCGGCGCGCCGGCGTCCGGGCTTTCCACGCAGGTTCCAGACCTGTGGGCCGCCTCCCGCCGACAGCTGTCGCCATAGCAACAGCGCCCCCCGCACGCCCCCTCCTCCGCCTCCTCGCTGCCTTCCCTCTGGAGTGCCGCGCGGTTTTCCTTTTAAGGGTCGCGCTGGATGCTGTGGCGTAGGTGGTGCCTGCGGGCAGCCAGACCTCAGGCGGGGCATCGGCTGATGCAGCTGGCGGCCGTTTTTGAACCAGACGTCGGAGCCAGAAAGCCGCTGACTACGCCAAGACAACCTCTTTATTTAATGGGCTCAAACAGAGCAAGGGAACCATACAAAATTTACAGTTTGAATTTTGCCCGCAGACACCCCTCTCCACCTTTTTCTTTTTTTTTTTTTTTTTTTTTTTTTTTTTTTGAGACGGAGTCTCGCTCTGTCACCCAGGCTGGAGTGCAGTGGCCGGATCTCAGCTCACTGCAAGCTCCGCCTCCCGGGTTTACGCCATTCTCCTGCCTCAGCCTCCCTAGTAGCTGGGACTACAGGCGCCTGCCACCTCGCCCGGCTAAGTTTTTGTATTTTTAGTAGAGACGGGGTTTCACTGTGTTAGCCAGAATGGTCTCGATCTCCTGACCTCGTGATCCGCCCATCTCGGCCTCCCAAAGTGCTGGGATTACAGGCTTGAGCCACCGCGCCCGGCACTCTCCACCTTTTTCATGCCTGTGTGTACACACACACAGTCCAAGCCTCAGACGAGAAGCCGTTTATTGGTAAAGAGACACATGGAAATGTGGCTGCCAGGCCTCAGAGCGTCCTGCCCTTCTCCCAGCCAGCTGGCCTCTGCTATCCACCAGGACTGGGGCTTGGCATCCAGGATGGATACCATGAGTGCACCTTCTGTCTCTGGTCTATTCTGCCAGTGTCTCCGTGTCAGGGTGGGTTGGCTCCCTCCAGGGCACAAAGGTCTGGGCTCTGTCCAAGAGTGCCCCTCCATAGGGGTGGGTACCACCATGCCACAGAGCAGTATTTGCCCCATCCGGATGATCAAGATACCCCTGCCTCATCCCATTACCTTAAATTCCAGAAGCCCCATCACTGCAGCTCAGAAGGTAAACAAACCCTGGTTCAGGCGTTGGTCTCCCAGAGCAAGGTTGGGAGGCATCAGTGGTGCAATCAGCTTACTGCAGCCTCAAACTTTTGGGCTCAAGTGACTCTCCCACCTCATCCCCCCAAAGTGCTGGGATTACAGGTGTGTACTACCTGCCCAGCAAGGGGAAAGTGTCAGTTCTTAACAGATGAGGCAGCAGGAATTCAGGGTTGAGTCCTCAGGTGAAAGCCAGTTTATTTATTCAACAAGTATCGAATGCCTACTGTGTGCTAGGCAGTCTTCTAGAAGCCAGGGGTATAGCCCGTCCTGGCAAGATCCTGACTGGGCCCAGCCAGGACAGTTTCCTGAGCTTCAAGGTTACTCTCTCCAATCCCTATTTCTATCTATTCTCCTTCCTCCCCTTTCTTCCCTTCCTTCTCCCTCCCACCACCTCCCAGGCCCTTTCTTTGCTAAGCAGCAGAGCCCCTCCCTTTGGTCTCCTGGGCCTCCACCCTCCCTGGACCTGTCATTCCAGTCCTGTTGGTGCCTCCTGCTTGAGGGGCCTTGCCCTACCATCCCCTATCCCAAAGGGCCTCAGGACCAGGTGCCCACGTTGGTGCTTGATGCGGGCAGAACTGTCACCAAAACCCTTGCCACACTCTGCACACTTGTATGGCTTCTCCCCTGTGTGTGTACGCCTGTGTTTGACCAGATCTGAGCTTCGGGGGAACTCCTTCCCACAGAAGCCACACACGTGGGGCTGGCTGGGTCCAGAAGGCTGGGCCCGAACTCGGGGTCGAGGGGCTGTGGGTACTGGGCCAGGTGGGTTATGTGGCCGCAGGAGAGTGGATGGTGGTGGTGGCCGGGCCCGTTCACCACGGTGGGTGCGGAGGTGCTTGACTCGGGCTGAGCTGTCAGCAAAACCCTTGCCGCATTCAGGACAGAGGTAGGGTTTCTCCCCTGTGTGCACGCGATGGTGTTTCACCAGGTCAGAGCTTCGGCGGAAGCCCTTGCCACACTCAGGGCACTTGTGGGGCTTGTCGCCCGCCAGTGGTGGGGGTGGCTCCCCGGCCTGTGGGCCCCCAGGCTCCGGCTCCAAGCCAGGCAGGCCAAAAGGCTCACCAGAGTGTGAGGGACTTCGAGGTGTCAGCGGGGGGCTGGTGCCCAGAGGAGGTGGGGGTGGGCTGGGGATCAGAGCAGGTAGGGGATAGCCTGGGAAGCTGAAGTCCTGGGGCTCCATGTGAGTGAGGCGGTGGCGAAGAAGGGTAGAGCTGAGGCTGAAGGTACGGTCGCATTCCGGGCAGGCATGGGGCCTCTCGCCACTGTGGGTGCGGAGGTGTTTGACTCGGGCGGAGCTGTCCGCGAAACCCTTGCCGCACTCTGGGCAGAGGTAGGGCTTCTCACCCGTGTGTACCCGCAGGTGCTTCACCAGGTCGGATCCCCGGGCAAACTCCTTTCCACACACATCACAGCCAAAGGGCTTGGGCCCCAAGTGACTGCGCTGGTGACTCAGGAGGCTGCAGCTGAGCACAAACCTTTTGCCGCAATCAGTGCAGATATATGGCTTGTCCTGGGCCTTCGGTCCCTGGGTAGCTGCTGTGGCTGCCCGAGATGGCTGCCGTCGGGGCACCACTGGTCGGGGGGGCTGCTCCCCCCGGTGTGTCCGCTGGTGCTTGATGCGGGCGGAACTGTCACCAAAGCCCTTGCCACATATGCCACACTTGTAGGGCTTCTCACCAGTGTGTGTCCGCTGGTGTTTCACCAGGTCAGAACTCTGCCGGAAGCTCTTGCCACATTCACCACAGATAGTGGGGCGCTCACCAGCAGGGATCCGGGACCGAGGAATCTTTGGGGGACCCTGGGCTGGTGGTCGGGCTCTATAGGGCTTCTCCCCACTATGAGTCCGCTGGTGTTTGATCCGGGCAGAGCTATCCCCAAAGCCCTTGCCACAGACCCCACACTTGTAGGGTTTCTCCCCCGTGTGGGTCCGCTGGTGTTTCACCAGATCTGACATCTGCCTGAAGCTCTTGCCACACTCACCACACACAGCGGCCCGATCACTACTAGCCTGGCCCCAGCGTGGTTCCCCCAGGAGCCGGGGGCCTCTGTCCTGAGGCTGAGGCTTTCCTAGACCCTCTCTCTGGACCCATAAGTCATCCCAGTTCTGGATGCCTTCAGGTTTGAGAGAGGCATTTCCTACTTCATGATCTGGGGCCAAATCTTCTTCTTCCTTGAACCCCAAGCCATCTTCCTGTGGGGTATGTTCGAACTCATTCGGCTGGGAAATCACGTTCTCACTCCCTAGACCTGAGGAAAGAAAAGGAAGTTGTAGACCCTCCCCTTTGGCTCAGTCCTTATCTTTGACAGCAACCTCTCCAGGAAGACTCCCTTGACAATCTGTGGTTACGGGAACCCCAATCTGTCTCCTGTCAACCTCTGGTGCACTTACTATCTGTGCCTCTCAATAAAAACTTGTTTTAACTGGGCCCTTAATGTATGCCATTCACCGCACTCAGCATTAGTATTCAATCCTTGCAAACAATACTATAACACTATGACTATCCCCATATTACAGGCATGGAAAGACTCAGAGAATTTAAGTCCCTTTGCTGGAGGTTAGAAAGGTTAGAAAGTAGCAAAGCCAGGCCAGCAAGGTGGCTCACACCTGTAATCCTAGCACTTTGGGAGGCCGAGGTGGGTGGATCACTTAAGCCCAGGAGTTAGAAACCAGCCTGGGCAACATGGTGAGACCCCATCTTTACAAAAAAATACAAAAATTAGCTGGGCATGGTGGTGCGCACCTGTGGTCCCAGCTACTGGGAGGCTGAGGTAGGAGGATCACTTGAGCCCAGGAGGTGTAGGCTGCAGTGAGCTGTGATTGTGCCACTCTAGCCTGGGTGACACAGTGAGACCCTGTCGCCAAAAAAAAAAAAAAAGAAAAAAAGTAGCAAAGCCTGGTGTCTTAAGGTCTGTCTGACACTCAATCCCATGTTAATCCCTGCATTATACTGTCTATTTTGAAAACCTAGTATTTGCTATTATTATCTTATTATATTAGCCCATTCAGTAATTTATTACATCAGTTATCCTGTGTGTACCTGAGAGAACCCAGGCACACATCCCTTCCTCAAGAAGCTTAGGGTGGTAGGAGAGATAAGATGGTTATAATTGTGGGTTCAGAATAACTATGTTGTCACAAGAGAGATAGGAGATAAGGAAGTAGGAACTGGCATTACGGCAGAGCAAAGAGAAAATAATGGAGTGGAATGGAAGATAAGGTGTCAAAGGATGTTGGCACTAGCCTGAGCACGCACGGTTTGGATTGGACACTAGCTAAGGCTTTTAATTAGGAGACAAGGGGACGCTAGGGAAGGTTTTCCAGAAGAGACACAGGATTATATCTGGACTTAGATCAATCTGGCGGCAGAATGCATCAGTGGAGAGAAAGGGGCAGAGAGGAGGCTACTGCAATTGCCAGGATAAAACAGAATGAAACCTGAAGTAGGGCAGAGGCAGAGAGGACAAGAAAGGCCGTGGGGGAGGGGGCAGAGGCCGTGAAGAGCCCCTCCCGGCCTGGTGCACAGTAGGTGTTCGGAAAGCTCCGCTCCCTCCCTCGGTGTTTGCTCCCCTCCCCCTTTCTCCCCGGAGGCACAGCTCACGTCCGATCTTCCTGCATCTCGGCCGGCCAAAGCCAAGCATCGCAGTCCCCACCGGCCGTTACCTGTCCGTGGTGGCGCACGGCCGAGGCCCTCACCTGTGCGGGCGCCTCTCACCGGCTCCCTCTCCTCCTGGCCGTGGAGATCCGGGCCCCAGGGCTCTACCGCGCGCTCCATCGCCGGCACGCCGCCCTGAGGAAGAGGACAGACAGCATCCCGCGGTCATACAGCCATGTGTGGCCCGCGGCGCCCTGCCGCTGCCCTCTGCCGGCCAGCGCTGGCACCGGGTGGCGTCGGGTCCCAGGTACGGGCGCGGCTCCGGGTGCCCCCCGCCCGCGCCGCCGGCCGCCCCTGCACCTGCTGCTCCTCTCGGCGCGCAGCCGCCGCTCTCACCTTGCCGGCGGACGCCGGCTCCGCCACCCCGGCGCCCTCCGGAGCTCCTCAGCGGAGTGCGGGTGCCCGAGCCGCCAGCGGCTCCGGGATGCGGGCTCCGCGCCAAGCCAGGAGGGGGCTCGGACCCAGCCGTCCCGGGGGCGGCCGCCGGGGGCGGGGACGGGAAGCGGAAGCGCGGGGCCGCACGGAGCCGCTCTAGGACCTTGGAGGAGCTGCGCGCCTGTGGGGGTCGCCCGCGTCGGCGGGAGCTCGGTGGCCCGCGGGCGGCAGCGTGCGGCCCAGGGGCTACTCTAAGCCGAGGACGGCGGCCCGAACTCGGTGGTATTAACCGTGTGCCTCCTGGGCTGCAGCTGGGTAATGAGGCCCGAGGCTCTTCGCAATTGTGGCTGTGTGTCTCCGGCCACCCGCGCCGACCTCCGGGGCCGGCCGACTGCGCCAGCCACCCCGGCCTGGGAGAGACAAAGAAAGAGGGATCCAAAGACGGACTCGGGGAAGGGGGTGGGGGAGAGACCAAGGCAGACAAAGGGCGGCGGAGACCCCAGACGGGGCGGGGCGCCGAGACATGGGAAACAAAGCGGGGCTGGTCCGAGAGGCCGAGGGCCCGGGGTGGGGGTTGGGGTGGAATGGGGGCTGGGCTGGGGAGACCGAGGCAAGAGCAGAGGCTAGAGGCAGACACCGGGTAAATGCTGCTGGGGAAATGGAATCAGACCTGGGGCCCGGAACAGAGACCCTGAGCCAGAGACTCACATCAGAGCCTTGAGTCAAAAGAGGACGCAAGGGCAGAGAGAGACCGAGGGACAGCGGCTGACCAAAAATACGGGGAGCCAAAGATTGGCCGCTAGAGACAAAGAGACGTAGGAACGGATAAGAGATAAAGTCATTGACGCAGAGTCCGAGGAGCAGTAAGAAGAGGCAGGGAGCCTGGGGAGAAACAGGCCCAGGAGCAGAGGAACAAAAGACGGCAGTCAGCGAAACGGGCAGAGACAAAGAGAAAGAGACACAAAGAAAGAGGCGGCACTACAAAGGCCAGGCTCAGGGAGAGGCTGAAGAACAAGCCCTGTTTCCCATCCTGGTGGGGCCCTGGCTGGAGCTGTGTTCCCAGGTTCCCAGGCCCCAGGAGCAAGATCCCAGTATCCGCCCACTGGGCGGGCTTGGTTTTGGGGTGGAGAGAGTGTCTGGAGGTGTCTTCAGCCCCTCTGCCAATGATGGTGGGGGTAACTGTGGTTTGTGTATTAATTCACATTTATTAGCATCTTAGTGCTAAGCCAACAGTTGGGGATAAAGAGTTGAAACACCTGCAAGATTTGTCCTTGGAGAGCTACCAGTCTAAAGGAGCAAGTACACAAATCACTGAAATTAGAGAATTTAGCTGGGCCTGGTGGCCTGCCCCTGTAATCCCAACTGGGAGGATTCCCTGAACCTGGAAATTCAAGGATGCAGTGAGCCATGATCATGCCGCTGTACTCCATCCTGGTCAACAGAGCGAGACCTTGTCTCTAAAAAAAAAAAAAGAAAAAAAAAAGAGACACACCAACATGGCACAAGTATACATATGTAACAAACCTGCACGTTATGCACATGTACCCTAGAACTTAAAGTATAATAATAATAAAAAAAAAAAGCCAATTCTCGCTGCGCCCTCAGCCGTCCCCAGTAGCTGGGAAACCCTACAAGGCCCGCCCGCCACCCGTCGTCCTGGCTAGTTTTTTATTTTTTTTAGTAGAGACAGGGTTTCCACCGTGTTAGCCAGGATGGTCTTCGATCTTCTGACTCGGTGATCCCGCCCGTCTCGGCCTCCGCCAAAAGGTGTGCTTGGGAAATTACACGGGCTTGAAGCCACACCGAACCTTGGCTCTTTTTTTTTTTTTTTTTGAGACAGAAGTCTTAACTCTGTTGCTCAAGGCTGGAGTGCGGTGGGCACATCTCAGCTCACCACAAGGACCTCCCCGACTTCCCAGGTTCAAGGCAATTTGCCCTGCCTTAGCCCTGCCGAGTAGCTGGGGGAAATTACAGGAGTGCAGCTGCCATGCCGCAGGCTAAATTTTTTGTAATTTTTAGTAGAGATGAAGTTTCCCATTTTGTTGCCAGGGCCTAGTCTCTAACTCCTGATTTCATGAATCCGCCTTCCTCAGCCTTGCCCAAGTGCAGGGAATTACAGGGGCGTGAGCCACCATGCCCGGGGGCCCGCAAGAGCCTTTTCCCCTGCAGGAAAATTCGTTTTTATTTTTTTGTTATTGTTTGTTTTTGTTTTATTTTTATTTATCTTTATTTTTTAAATTTTCTTTTGATGATAGAGTCCTTATCTGTCGCCCAGGGGCCTGGAGTGGCAGGTGGTGGTGATCTCAGCTCAACTGCAACCTCCACCCTCCTGAGTTCAAGCAATTCTCTCCTGCCTCAGCCCTCGGGGTCCTGAGTAGCTGAATGAAATTAGCAGGTGGTGCGGGCACCACGCCTCGGCTGATTTTTGTATTTTTTTTAGTAGAGATGGGGTATCACAATGTTGGCCAGGCTTGGTCTTGAACTCCTGGAACCTCAAGGTGATTCCCCACCCAATGTGTTGGACCTCCCAAAGTGG